ACAGGCAGCCTCTTGTAAAGGCAATGCAGCCAGCCCCCCTCCCCTTCCACACACCTCCTCCTGCACACAGAGCATGTGCTCTGCTGGTTTTCTAATAATGGGACACAGTTGGCTACAGGCTTTGGAGTAAAAAACAGCCTTGATCTTAAATCCCAGCTCCTTCATTTAAAAGCAGTGCGGCCTCAGATAACCTGCTTACCCTCCCGGTGTCTCAGTTTCTCATCTATTAACTGGGGACATGACTGTCTGTCTGCTCAGAGTTGTTGTGGGGATAAACAAAGTTATGCGTGGAGGCTTACAGTGCAGTGGCCAGCACCAACTTGTATGTGAGCCCTTTTCCCCAAAAAATTCCTACCAGTCCATTCCAACCTAAATCCTCTCGGGAAGCCATGACAGCACCTGCTGGACATCTGGCTGGGTTACCAATATGGCCTGTGGCCGTGCATGAAGCAAAGCCAACTGACCCATAAAGGGTTCAACCCCATGATCCTGATCTCAATAGCACAGCTCCAACCAAACGAGCTAATTACGGGAGAGTCAGATTCAACTCAGCTGGCACGGAGACGCTCTTAGCAGTTCCTACAACATTCTTGAACAGTTTTGTCCTAAGATGCAATGTGACACAACACACTTTACTAATGATCTCATCTTTTAAAAATCTTAACGTAATGTAGCAAACAGATGTGTCACTTAAGAGGATTAAGGTGGAAATTCATTACAGTGATAATACCAGTGGATTTGTGTTCTAAAACTAAGACCAATCAATCAACTTTGTGCACACTCCATCTGAGCACCGCTCAGCTTCCAGGAAAGCACAGGAGAACTGGGCACCCAGGTCTTCACCCTCAAGGAAAGTACCTTGGAACAGGGGAGATGGTGACAACCCCTACATACTGAGAGCCTGACCTAAATGACCTCTAATCCAAGATGTTCAGGTGTAGCTCGTACAGGAATCACCAATGCATCTTGGGAAAATGCATATACTGATTCAGCAGTGGCGCAGGGAGGCCTGAGGGCATTTCTAATAAGAGCCAGGTGATGCCCAGCCCACACTTAGAGGATCAAGGCTAATTCTCACTGCAATCAGCTATTTTACAGGTGCGATCGCTGAGGCAGCAAGGTAACCACAATGACAAAGGTAGTGAGAAGGAAAGAACATGGTACAGTCACAGCTAATCCAATCAGGGGATGGAACTCTGGGACATGGACAGGCTGCCTGGAAGGAGGACATTCGAGACATAAAAGTGGAGTCATTAAGAACTCAGACCTAGTATCAAATGCCAACCCTCAAATTTCCCACTCCCATGATCAGCTGACTTCCTTCTGCTCTGGGTCTCTTCTAGTGTGACATGTACCAGTACCAGTACCAGTACCGGACCCATGGGGGGGTCATGAGTATGGTGAGGTGATGTGTGTCTAGGACCGCGCTTGACTCAGGCAAGCAGCTAGGACACAGTAGTTAGTATTTCTCCACTCTCTTGTCCACAACAGGCACCAAAACATTTCCTGAATTAAATTATAAGTCATTATTGCCATTTTGACACCTAAGCTAGTTATCATTGTCTTTGTAAAAATGTTCTGCTATTCCAGTTTTGTCTATCAAAAAGAAACATGAATCCTTAAAGCCTTAGCCTTTAGCGTCAATTAATCCAAAGACATTTAAGCTTTTAATTCTATTGCAGAGTTTTTTCTACATTGGAAGTCCTATAATTACGTTTTTTCTTTTAAAACACTACACCATAAATAAACACCTGTTTATACAGCATTTGAAAACAAAAGGCCACACCTAGTCCAGACAAAACATATACCCAGCAAAATGAATATCTCCCCAGTGAGAATACAGCACCTGTTTTTACCTTTTTGTTATCAAACTAACCATTTTTTAATCATCTTCCCTAAAACTACTATGAAAAGCTGAGCTTTTTGTTGTTTTTTCTAATCTAGCAGTTTAAATAGGAAAAGTACAGCATAATAAGTGCAATATATTGTTTCTGTCCAACACAATGGTTTAGTTAAATAAATAAATAACTTCTAATAAAGTCAGCAGACATGAGCTAAATTAATATATCATCAGGTTAAGAAGAAATGCATACACTCAGGTTTTGGCTGGAAGGACCTGAGAGGTTACCCAATTCAAAGGCTCCCAGCACAGGAAAAGCCCTAGGGAGCTTTACAAATTAGGACCCTCTGCTGAGGCCTTCCAGGGACTGGTTATACTTCGTGTGTTCACTTAGTGAAAATTCATCCAGCTGCTCACTTATGCCCTGCACACTTTTCTGTATGCACAATCTACTCCATTCAATATCTTATTCCCCAGGAGCTTAAATGTGCAGGATGGCTGGGAACAGAGTGTATCTGCATGTTCCACAGTCATACTTCTTTCTTTCCACCGCCCAGAAGGCCTCTATCCCCAGAAACTCCTCCTCTTACCAGGCTGGGCTCAGTGGGACCTGGGAGAGACTTTCCCTGTGACCCTGGAGAGCCTTATCTATGGCAGGGGTAACAGCTTGCCCACTCCATCATTTGCCAATTCACAGCAGGCTCGGTAACTATGTGTTCCCACCTTGAATTGAATTGAATGGGAACTCTACCAGGCCAGGAATTCTGCCTTGAGACTCTTACTCATGCTTGTAACATTCACCTGCCCCAGGCCAAACAGGACCTGGCACAGGAAGGTGATTTGGTGAACTCCCTAAGTGAATGGAACAGAAGCCCCAGATGGTGTGGCTTCTGACCACACAACACAGCTGGTCCTGGAAGCAGAACAGCACTGGGGTCTCAAGTCCCACAGACCTGGTTTGAATCTCGGCTCCTCATCCCTAGCACAGAAACTAGGCTACTTAATCACTCTCTGCCTCAGTTTCCTCATCTGTAATACAGGGATAGGAAAAGTTTCCACTTTACACACACGTGTATTATTAAATGAAACCATGCGCTGACATTCCTGATAGAGCACGTACCTACACGCCAAGTACTCAAAAGATGTTAGCTCTTTCTGTCACAGGTGGGTCATCCAATTTTCAGAGTCCCTGTTGGAGCTTTATCAGCTTTTTAAAAGATGAAAGTCCTTGTAGGCACATAAATGCCCTGAATTCTGCTTTACAGAACTCTGGCTAACAGAATCAGCCACTCACTCAGCTCTAGATGTAAAAAAACAACTGCCAAACATCTGAATACATTGCAGGAGACTTTAGGCAAAAGACTCTGAGACTAAGGCTGGCTGGCCCCCAAGACAAGGGGTCAAGGGTCTCTGTGGGATATCTTCTGGCTCTGCTTCTCCCACAAGGGACCCCTCAGCAAGTTCTGTGAGCCAGTGCAACTGCTGTGTGGTGGCTTCTAGTGTGGGTGGAACAATGAGCATTGGGGTTTCCTCCTACCTGACCGAGAACATTGGGTCCAGACTATGAGACTATTCCATGGAAACATAAAAACATATTTCAGCTTCCAGCCTGAAAGGTCAACCATGTACATAGGGTTTGAAATCCAAGAAAACCACTTCGAGGTCATAGGGCCACAATTATGTCTTTTGTGGTCTCAACAAAAGATCACTGTAATCAGAGACCATAATGAATGGAATATGATGCTGAAGAAGCCCTTCGAAAACTTTTAGCTGAATCCACTGATTGAGAAGAACCAAGTAATGCACCAAAGTGCCTCTGATAAGCTGAATCCACAATACATCATTCTGCCCCTCCATCTCCCAGGCCAACTTACCTGTACGGCCAGAGAGATTCCCAGGAATGGTGACTATATCCATCCTGCACCAACACAGGCAGAATGAGATAGACCTGCCCCATTCCCCATTCCTGAAAACAGCTTCCTAATTAAGGAGTAGGGGAAAGCACTGATACATTACTAATGGACAAAGAAAAACACCACTGCCCACGTTCACTGGTTTCCACACACAACCTCCCCCTCTACTTCCAAGGCAGGTGAACATCATACAACTATCTAAAGAATTTTTGGAATCAATGTTGTTCTTTTGGGCATCAAGGGGTCTCTCGTCCAAATATTTGTCAATGTTGATCCTCAGAAAATAAATCATCTCCAAGCTTGGCTATGACCCCTAAGCAAAAAAAAAAAAAAAATGTACCACGGAAGTAATTCTTCAAGCTGCAGTCGATCCGTTTAATTGGGAGGAAGGGTTCTCCTGGGTAACTAAATGGTGAGCTTTCAATACCCAGCTCATTGCAACACACACTTTGCAAGATGTCTGTCCTCCTGCAAAGGGTTAAAAAGAAAACTCTATCGGGTGGACTGAGAAGCCATTCTTCCCAGGGGACACTCATTTCAGGCTGCGAGGCTCAGGCTTTGTGCGCGAGCCGCTCCTCCGCGCCCCCGCCCCTCCTCCCACAGAGATTGCCCCTCCAAGGTCCCCAGGGCCACCTGCTTCTCCTAAGAAAAGGGGGCTACTCCGAACGCTATCACAGTGCGCGGTCAGGGTCCTAGGCGGTACCCCCCCCCCACCCCGAGAGGAGCAGGAGGTGTCCCCGAGGAAGCGTGCTTTGTCGCGAGTGTCCCGCGGCCGCCCGCTGCTGCCCCCAGAAGCCCGAGAGGTTTTGTCCCAGGCGTCGCTCAGGACTCTCCTCCGAGGGACCTGAGTGTCCCAGGGCCCCGTTCTTTCCGCGCCTAGCTCGGCACCCGTTAGGGTGCCGGGGCCGGCTGCCGGCGTCCAAGCCCCACCCCGCCCACCCCACCGAGCTAACGGCGCGGCGCCCGGGAATCTTCTCCATCCCGCCTCAGGCCGGCGCGGCACCTGCTCAGCCCCGCCCGTCCCCAGCTCCCGGGCAGAGCGCGGGGCTGTCCTCCTCGCCCGGTCCGGGAGAGCCCGCGCCAGCCGCTGGGTGCCCCTCTGCCTAACGGGGAGCGGGGAGGTCTTCCTTTGGGAGCTTGTCGCAGGGGGGCCGCGCCCGCCCAGCCTGCCCGCGGCGCCCCCACCCCAGCGCGCCCCACGAGAGGAGCCGAGTCCAGGAGGCCCAGCCCGCCCCGCCAGGCCATACCTTGTGCGGCGCCCGCAGCAGCCGGTGGACCCCCGCCAGCTGGGTGCCGAGCGCGAGGTCCTCGCGGAACGTGAACAGCGGCGGCCGGCTGGGCTCGGGGAAGTTGGTGCTGTTGAAGGGGTCTGTGTCGTCCAAGAACTGCACCCGGCAAGCCAACGTGGCCATGATGCATCCCTGCTCCGAGGGGCGCGAGCCCCGGGATCGGCGGGCCCGCGGGACGGGACGCCGGGGTCACTGCGAGCAGGGGAGGCCGCGGCCGCCGCTTGCTGGCTCGCCCGCTCGCAGGCTCCGGCGCGCCCGGCTGCAGCCCAGGCTACGGCCGCGGGGGGGCGGGGCAGGGGCGGGGCCGGCGGGCCCCCTCCGTCGCCTCCTGCCCCGGCTCCTCCCCTCCTCCGTCCCCCTTGAGCCAGGCCCGGCTGCCCGCACGGACCCGACCTGCTGCTGGGAACGGGAAGGGCAGAATGGCTCCCGCGGCTTACGCAGCCCTGCGCTAAGCCGGCTGGAGGTGGCGGAGAGGCGGGGACCCTCCCCGGTGGGGTGACCTCGGCAGCGCGCGCGCCCGGGCTAAGCTACCCTGCTCGGAGCTCCGGGAACCCGGGTAGGGGGGTAAGGGTGCATGGCTGCCCTTTCGTTTTTTCCCCATCTGGGAAAAGGCTTAACGCTTTCCAGATGAAGGCAGCAGCGGCGGGCTCTTGCCGCCCAGATTCGGGAAAACCCCACCTGGGCACCAGGAGGCGAGGGAGGCGGTCTCCCGCAGCAAGAGGGGTATTGGCAGCACCTGGAGTCCCGGCGAGGTTTCCCTTGGGAAGAGGAGACCTAAAGAAGGAGTGTGCGCCGGGGAACCCAGGCAGCTCTTCTCAGGAGACAAGTTCAGGGCGCGCCAGACGAGAGACCTAGAGGGTGCGAGGCTCCGCTCCGGGACCCCAGCGCCAGGCCTGGCCCCCGGGCTGCCTGGTGGATGCTGGTTGACCCTCTACGTCACCGTGGCCTCTGGACCAGTTAGGTCTCCGAAAGCCCTAACTGGACCGTGCGGGGCCTCCGGGGCCGCTTCCCGCGAGGTCACCGAATCGCGGAGGGGCGGCGGAGGGCGAGGGACCCGCGGTAACTTGGCAGGAAGGTTTGCAGCCTGCCTGCCTCAGCCATTCCGGAGCCGCCAGACTCCTCTGCCTCCCGCCGCTCTCCGCGCTGCTCGCGGGCGACCCCTTTCGTTTCCAATAAAAATTCACAGTTCTCTCCATTCCAGGCCGTGGCCAAGTTCGTGGTTCATCATCCTTCATATAGGCCACACACAGCGGTTCTCAACCTGTGGGTCGCGACCCCCAAAGTGACCCTTTCACAGGGGTCGCCTAAGCTCATGGGAAAACAAAAAGATATTTACGGTAGCAAAATTACAGTTACAGAGTAGCAACGAAAATAATTTTATGGTTGGGGGTCACCACAACATGAACTGTATTAAGGGGTCGCGGCACTGGGAAGGTTGAGAACTGCTGCAATAATACCCAATCTCTCTTAACATCTGCGTTTTCACAAGGTGGCTCTTTGTACAAACCTTCCTTCTGGTTTCAAAAGGAAAAAAAAAACCCTGTCTTGTACTTAGTCCCCTCACCGTGCCCTTTAACTTTTCCTCTCCAAGGACTCGCCCTGTCACCCATGCACCCTTATGCCTCGCCTTAAAGTAACAATTCTCTACCACACTGTACATTCCACCGGAACCCCTCTCCTTCCTTACTTTTGCTACTTAACTCTTTGAATGAGTTCTCTAGACGGGCTCAACACCAACTTCATCACCAGCACGTGGCTCTGGTCGGCAAATTCTACCCCTTTTGACCGGGGCCTCCTACCCTCCCACCTGGCTCTTTGTGCCTCACCTGTCCAGCAGGTCCCTAGCCTGCTCTTGCCCTATCTGCCAAGTGCCCGCTGGCAGTGAGGCCACTCTCAGTGACCCGTTTCTCCCAGGTTCCTCAGCACTGCTCAGTGTGGCCTCCCACCCCCTCATGCCTCTGCAAACCTCTGCCACTTTCCTCTGCCTGCAGATTATGCAATGAAGAAAATCATCCCTCCAGCATGAAGTCCTCTCCTTCCAGCACCCCCTCCTCTCCATCTTCCATCTCCTCCATCTCAGGAGATGACCAGAGCCCTGTCTTTCCTCCATCTGGAGCCTGAGTCCCTCCTTCCCAATTGCTCTGCGACCAGGCTCTATCGCTGATCCAGCCCCTTCTTCCTTCCTCCTTGGGCTCCTTCCCTTTGAGGACCAGGACTGGCTTCCTGGCATGCAACCTGTGCAGTCACACAGGGGCCTGCACTTAGAAGAGCCCCACACTGGTTTCAGGCTCTGCTCTTGCTGTCTTAAATTTCTTAATAATTTAACAAGAGGCCCCCATTTTCATTGTGGACTGGGCTCTACAAGTGATATAGCTGGTCCTGATGAGAATAAATACTCAAGTATTTCCCATCTTAAAAGTTACGTCTTTATGAAGCCTGCCTCTTACTGGCTTGTCTCTTCTTCACTTCCTGACCAGCTTCTGAAAATAGTGCTGTATTCGTTTCTCAGCATCCTCACCACCTCTTTGCTCCACACCCCACGGCACCTGGTGAGCAACCTTCCCTAATGTTCTGAGATTATCAATGCCATCCTAATCGCCTCATCTATGGAATACCTCAGCCCTGCTACTCACTTTCTTGGCAGCATCTGTCACCATAGACCACTCCTTTCCCAAACTCTCTTCCCCTCAGCTTCAGTAGTTCTACCCACTCTGGGTTCACCTTCTCCCTCTTTGACAGCTACTTCTGCCTCTCTGACAGAGTCCCTCTTGGCTCTGTTCTCCTGTTGAGAATAGGGCATCACAATTACAGTTACTGTTAACTTACTGTCTGTGTTTCCACTAAATTGAAAGCTCCTCTAGGGCAAGGACCATGCTGTATTCAACCCTATATCCCCTAGTGCCTGGCAGAGTGCCTAGCACAGCAAAGGCACACAATAAATGTCTGATGAATGAGTGAACATTGGAGTCATCTGTGAATCCTATATCTGGCATTTGGTCACTATAACCTATCACTGAATCAGCCTCTAAAATAATTCTGAACTCTTTGCCCCTGTCTAGCCCTCACTTCCTATGTTAGTCTTCTAACAAGTCTTCCCTCCCCAGATTTGCATCTTGTATTTGATCTTCCACTGGCTTCCCCACAGCCAGTGACCGTTCTAAGATGTGCATTTGATGTATCACACTTTAGGGTAAAATCCTGACATGCCAACCCCCTTAGCATGACTCACAAGACTCTCTAAGATCTGTACCAGTCTACCACTCCAGGTTCATCTCTGGTCATTCCCCACTTCACATCCTATTTCAAGGCACCATGAACTTCTTACCCGTTCCCAAACATGCTGAGATTTTTCATGGTGAGCTTCTCAACCTGGAATGCTCTTCCTTACCTAACTGGCCAGAACTGAACACATTTATCTTTCAATACTCATTTCTAAGGTCAGTGCTTCTAGAGAGCCTTCTACAACTCCATCTCAAACAAGGATTGTCTCTCGTTTGTGGTCTCAAATTATTTTCTACGTGTCCCTTTTCAGGTTGCATTGTAAATACATGCTGACCTATATGCCTATCTACAAAACTATAAGACTTTCAGGATTGGAATTTGCCCTATTCATTTTTCATTTTAAAACTTCAAATAGTGACTGGCACCTAAAATGAAACCTTTAAAAGTTTTAATCATATAGGCTATCATGAATTCTTATAAGGATTTTGTTCTGTCAACTCCCTTGAAACTGCTCTTAGCAATATTTTTTTTCCTGTAATAGCCAATTAATTTTTTCTCAACCTATTTTTTGAAGTCATTCTTTTTTAGTTATGTAATACTTTTTCTTGGTTCAGAAGGTCAAGTGTGATAAAAAGTTAAAACAAAAAAAAAATCGGCTTCCTATTTTACAACTCCCACCCTCATCCCACCTCACTTTTCAGAGGCACACATCTCTAAATAATGTAAGTACACTGCTATATTTTGATCTATGAATTTTAGACAGTACACTGACTTTCCATCAAGCTACATGAGGATTTCTTTTTTTGCAGAATCAAGGATATTTTGTTATTCAGTCAACTGACTTTTTGACATACAATATTATTTTACATTAATTTAAAGTGTACAGCATAGTGATTAGACATTTATATAATTTAAGAATTATATAAGAACTAGTCCCCCTGACTAGTTGAGTACTCACCTGTCATTACACATACTTATTACCATATTATTAACTATATTTCCTAGGCTTTACTTTACACCCCCATGACTATTTTGTAACTACCAATTTGTGTTTTTTAACCCCTTCACCTTTTTTCACCCTGCCCCCCAAACCCTTTCCATCTATCACCCCAATAAATCTAGTACCCATCTGACACCATACATAGTTATTACAATATTATTGACTATATTCCTTATGCTATTACATCCTTATGACTACTGTGTAACAACCAAACCCTTCCCCCTTTTCACCCACTCCAAGCCCCCTCCATCTGGCAACCATCAAAATGTAGCTCTCCCAGCCCTATCCTCAAAAGTTTTCTTTGGCTTCTGTCTTATGTGGGAGCTCCTGGCTCCTAGATCACTTGAATTTTTTTTTTTGGTTTGTACTCTCAATTTTTGTAAATATATACTCTAGTACCTTCCTGAAAAAAGGTTTTGAGGACTTTCATATCTGAAAGTGTCTTTATTTTCTATTGTCACACTTGCTTTGGTGTGGTAGTTTTGTTGGTAAAGATGGTCACAGTAATTCTTCCTACCACTTTTATTTCCACCATTTTTAAATATGACTTTGCAACTTCTTCCATCAAAAAGTGGAGTCTACAGAGAAAGACGGATGTTATGTGATTTTGCTTATATGTGGAATCTAAAGAACAAAACAGAAACAAACTCATAGATACAGATAACATTTTGATGGTTGCCAGGTGGGAAGGGGTTGAGGGGGTGGGTGAAAAAGAGGAAGGGATTAAGAAGTACAAATTGGTTGTTACAAAGTAGTCATAGGCATGTAGGGTATAGTATAAAGAATATAGTCAATAATATTGTAGTAACTATGTATGGTGTCAGATGGGAACTAGATTTATTGGGGTGATAGATGGAAGGGGGTTGGGTGACAGAGTGAAAAAGGGAAGGGATTAAGAAGTACAAATTGGTAGTTACAAAATAGTCATGGGGATGTAAAGTAAAGCATAGGGAATGTAGTCAATTATATGGTAATAACTATGTATAGTGCCAGGTGAGTACTAGGCTATTCAGGGGGGGGGGGTCACGTCTTAAATTATACAAAATGTCTAACCACTATGCTCTACACCTGAAATTAACATAAAATAATATTGAATGTTAACTGTAGTTAAAAATTTTTTTAAAGGGGTCGGGTGGGAAAGTGAAAGGGAATAAGAGGTTCAAATTTCCAGGTATAAAACAAAGACATCATGGGGGTGTAATGTACAGCATAGGGAATACAGTCAATAATATTGTGATAGCACAGTACAGTGTCAAATTGTTGCTGGGCTTATACTGGTGATCACTTCTTCAGGCATATAAATGTTGATCAAGTAAGGTGTACACCTGAAACTAATATAATGTACGTTAGCTATATTTTTTAATAAAAATCTTAAAAGAAAAAAAAAGTGGAGTCTGTGTCCCTACTCCTTATGACTTGTTTTGACAAATATAATATGTTGGCAGCGACATTGTGTGACTTCTGAAGCAAAGACTCAAGAAGCCTTACAGCATCTGTTCTCACCCTCTTGTAATGTCAACCTGAGACTACCATGGGACTAAGCCAGGGCTAGCCCAGGAAAAGGAATAAGAAAATTATTCCTGAAGACTGGGAAAATAGTTACCTGTGTTATGTAGCAATGAAACAATTGGCAACAAGAAAACCAGGAAAAGGTGGATTTGTCGTAAAAGTAACAAAGCTTAAACTCAAGGCCTCTCGCATGTACCAACATCTTCCAAAGCCCTTTTTCTTCTGCAAATAGACATTCATTTTAATTTTGTATTCCTTTCCTTAAAGATGATTTTTAAACTGCATAAGCTTCATGGCCACAAAGCCTGGATCTGCCACTGAGAACAACCAATTCAAAGCAGCATACTTTAAAAAAAAGAAAAAAAAATCCTAA